CAAAATGTCTTCCTATCAGTCTACCTGGACCAGGAAGACGGGTTGGTCTACCTCTAGATCAATACACTGGCAAATTTGGTGCACAAAACTCTAAAGTTTCACTCACCAACATGTGTCTAAATGTCAAAAAACTGTCAGTGCCACCAATTTCCTTATACACAAGATAAGAGTTTACAAGAGCAACATCAAGCCAAAAAAGAACAGTTTCTTATATCATTTGGTTGATTTTCTGACTGAACGGTGTGACGATGCCAGCTGGTCTGCAATGTCCACACCCTTCACCCCCTCGTTGTAGTCGAGTACACACTTGGGTTTCTCCAAAGCGATGCCATCATGGTTCTGCTTGCCGGTGTCAGCCATCACGGCTGTGTGCATCATGGACATCATATGGACATCTTTTTTGTCTCGCCAGACCAAGGCAAGCAAGCCTTTGTCGCTGAACAACATCACCTCTCTCAAGTTTCAAGGAGCACAAGTCCTTGGGCATGTTTTGACAATTGCTTCTCACCGTCCCAACGACGTTGGTCTTCTGGTCGTGTAGTTTCAGGTAGGCATGTCCATATGTGGCCTTACCACATACGGACATGCCTACCTCACCTGTTTTGTATAGTAAATTACATGTAGTTTGGTTCCTGACAGCGAATATCATTTTAAACTGCTAATATTGTCTCTATTCACTCAACAGTAAGATTGGTACATATAGTTGACCTTGAGTGAATGGGATACACGTAGTTTTATAAATTATTCACGTAAATGTAATACTGTAATTAATCTTGTGAAAGTTTGATCGTGCGATGACAAAAGGTGCCAATGCTTATTTTTCAGATCAATAAAAAAAAATGACTCATGCATAACAAAATTACTCTCAAGAACTTTATTTTTTATAGCTGTAATAATTGAATTAAGCAAATACTCTTATAACTTCACCCTAACACTCCTCAGTCCTCCAACAGGTGAAGGATTGAGGAGGGTTAGGGTTAATGTTTAGAGATTCCATTACATCAGCTCACTGAATGTGAAAATAAAGTAGGTGTATATCACGATGGCAAAAACACATCAACCAATTGAACTGTAGCAGCGCCTTTCAGATTAGCACTGTTCCTTTAATGCGCTTTATATTCATGGTTCAAAGGTCACACTTTGCCCTGCGCTTTTGTACCTGTATCACACACGTGAAGTTGTCAGTACATGCTCAGAATTGTGGATTGTTCGCTGTTCATATCCTAAGATTACAGGCTATGATCATCACTCTTGTTAAGTACTAGGTTTTATGATTCTCTATCTCAGCACTGCAATCATTTGACTTGAGTTTGGAGGACTTTAGTGGGTGCTTTGTGACTGAACTGTTGTCATGTTTGTGTGAATTGTCACGAGCGTTGTTTACAACCTCGCCCCGTATTAACGGTGCTATAGTTTCATCCCAACTTGCATGGACTTGGCATTACCCATTTGTATGAACAGGCCTAACTTGTGGAACTCTTTGCCTGTGTTGAATAAACTTGGAGTAGAGCATTGCATTTACACTCTCTACAGAACCTTTTACCCACCCTACGCAAATGTAGACCCATGCCACCAGTCGTGAAATACGGAGTAGATTGGGTATACTATAACAAATAGAAAAAGTTGCAGTCCCATCTGAAACAGTAATATACGCCATGCATTATTATTTTACTGTTCTGTATGTACGGGGTTGGGAAGGGTTACTAGTAATCTTCTTTAAGTTTCAAAGAACCCAATATCATGATTGTTATAATTGTTATGAAAAATTGAGATTGAGATTGAAAGACCTGTGAGCTAGATAAAAGTCTCTTTCAGTAACCCGGTTGGCATATGAAAAAAGGTTAAGGCTGAACACTGTCTTAGTGTCCCATTGTTGCAGAAGGACTATTTTCTCTGTTGACTTGCCAGCTGGGCTGCTTTAGGAATAGTTTGTCCAGCCATTCACTGTTTTGACACTGTTACGTGCGACTAATTCAAAAGAACCAAAATGAAATAGGGCACGACAGAGATGAACATGACAGCATAGAAAAGGAAACCAGCAACTATGTTTACAGAAATTTTTTCAGTTTACATACCAAAAATAATAAAGAAATTAAATCTGGGTTTCTATTTGTTTATAAAATTAAATAATTACTAATAGGTTGTTGTTGAGAACTTGATTGAGTGCGTGCTGTCAAGTTGACTATTGGTATTCTGTGGCGGAGGGACAACTCCGGCACAGCTGGCTGAAGCACTGGCTGGTGCACCTGGTTGGTCTGATCCAGGTCATCTTGGGTTGAGCCTCAGAACCGGTCTGGTCCCAGGCCATCTAGGAAGAGCCTCAGAACCAG